TGGCTAAATCCAACCGCGACCCACCAATCCTGACTTCTCCTTTTCAAAAAACAGCAATGGTGAGTAATGACATCTACAGTCACAGGCACAGGAACAGGGACAGAGAAAGAAAACTGGTGCAATTGCATTAATGGTGACCAACCAAACTATGACCTCAGGAAAACTGACAGAACAGAAGTTTGATTATATGCGAAAAGATAAGGGGTAAATTTACTTGGACAGCGAGAGACTTTGTTCATTAGTCACCATCTTCTAATTCACCATCTCGAAAGCAAGTGTATCTGTTGCCATATGTTACTGAGTAGTAATCATATTTCTTATAACACTTATTTTTTTGTCTTCCCGTTCTAACTCGAGGTTGGACTAACTCTCCAAAACCCGCACTAGCTAGCATAGGTTCTTGTGTCTTTATGCTGTTTTCATCATATTATGGGACGGGAGATTAGAACTATTTATCAAGTGGACTGGACAAAAAAGATGATTACAAACTCGTTAATTGTATCAAAAGATAATGTTTACAATAAAAGAAATTTGGCAATATATATAGAGAATATCTTTTTACGTTTCAACTTAACTATAATTTCAAAAAAAAAAAAGCTTTCATATTTAATAACTTTTTTTTATTAATAATTATAATTATATTGTCTATGTTAAATGAGATCATTCTATACTTCTTTTATTTGTATTATCACATTTTTTTAAAGAAAAAAAAGACCCGCCAAAATTGAAACAAGGGGTTTTGAGTATGGGACTACGAAACGCATTGATTGCAAGTAAATTCAAAGCAAGAAAAGATCAATGAATAATACTGACAGACACCAACTCCAATACTGTCTGGTCGTATTTTTTTATTTTTTTAATTTTCTGGGAAAATGCAAGGTCTCATTAATGTGTCATTATCTCACTAATTACCACACTGGACCATCATGTTTTCAATTTTTTTGGAAGATGCACACATTGTATTGATTTCTTCCCCCATACCCGGATTGAGACGAGTTAATTGCCTGCAGAGTGTTCGCCATAGGCCGAGTTTGTTTGTCCGAGACTGATACACAACTGTTGTGGTAATCAACTGCGTATAAAATAGCTGGACCACATTGCCTATAGGATAAACCAACATAGTTTCACACTTTTCCTCATTGCATCACCATCCCCTTTGGTTTGGTTTATAAATTTTTCTAACTCGCGGCCTTACCTCACTGCATGATCACCATTGCCTTTGGTTTATAAGTTTTTAAGAATCTATATTATTAAGAGCATGTGTTAATGATAAATTTATTGTATTTTTTGTTATTAATTTGTATAAAAAATTTATAAAAATAAATTTTATTTTTAATATTAATATTATAAAATATAATTTAATTAAAGAGTTGATAAAATTTAAACATTTTGTCATCTGTATATTTTAATTTAGTTTTGTGTATCAAATTAATGTACTAACTTTTGAGATTTTTTTTTAAGGCATAATCTTGCATTACTTTGGGGAAGAATTCAAGACCAAATGGAAGATGTTTTCTTGGTAGGGTGAGCTTTTTCTTGAGATTTTCGGTCGAGAACCATACCGAATATAATTTTTGGGTTTAAAATTTTGAGAGAGAAAAGTTTGCATTTAATCACACTGCTTAAATTAATTAAGCTTCTCATTTTGGAATTTTCCACAACCAAAACCAAAACGACCTATGATCTGAGGTCCAACATTGCTACCCATACGAGGTGGTTGCATTAATAAAAAAACATGAACTATATATGAACAGAAACATAGAGACTCAACAAAATTGCATTAGAAAACAGCAAAAATGCACCTATGCTCAGCCAAAATTCTTGAACATAAAGGGTGAATAATTGACAATTAATTTTATTTTATACATGACATAAAATTGATCCATAAATTATTTTATTTTTTTTTATATGAAATACAAACGCACACGCGACAAATTACATCTTGTTTACATTGTATACAAATACATTTCCATTAAATAGAAATCGTAAGAAACAACAAATGTACTAACTTAAGAAAACCGAAAAATACTGGACAAAAGCCGCACTAAAAAGGGACGACCATGTACATATATATTTTTACCTATATGGCCAGTTATCTCAATCTTTTCTTTCCTTTTCCCAATCAATCAAATCCCCTTAGCACCACACACTGTGACATTCCTCTCCCCTTGTTTTTTCCCATGACATGTTGCTACAACTTGATAGAGAAAGCCAGAAAGGTTGTTTGTTCTTTTGGACATGTTACGGGCATGCACAATGTATCCATAACTACCTTTTCCTAAATTCCCCACCTCATATCTCGATCAAGTTTTACTTTTTTAGATATCTAATTTAAAAACTTCAATTTTTTTTCTACATATACAAATTACCTTATTACATATTCACAGCACAGATCATCAATCAACAAGTCAAATTATAAATTAAAAAATATTTAACATAACATTAAACTAAATGAAAAAAATAAAAATAAATTAATATTAAAAATATCATGTTATCTAATTGCAACCATAAAATATAACCTGAGTCATAACTATATGGGTTTTAACTATATTCATCCATCATGTTGTTATAATTGAATATTATTGTATATTTCTTTATTTTTGCCATTTCTCAAACTAAAGTTACATTCAACAGAACTCAAAATCATCACAACCATTGTCCTGTACCTTTCCAATTTCTTGGAAAGGAAAATGGGAAAAGGGGGTTGGAATGGTGGAAATCACTTAGTTGCTCAAAAGCTGAAAATGCAGTGCAGGTAGATTTCTTTTTGGTTCAGAAATTATGAAAAGTATTCCAAATTTTCAAGTGGATACCTGTCTCCACAGCAAGAACATGCAAAGGAGTCTAATCCAAAATAATGCAAATATGCTCAAACTTGTGGGATTACGACGATAATGAGGCAGGGTGCCATGATATGAGTGTAAGACGATGCCAAAAATTCTGAGTTGGCTTGTACCTATCAACTGATATTGACTATCCCATTTGAAATCAACAGTCCTGATCTCTCCATAATGTGCTAAGAGGATTACTAAAGACAAAAGATCGGTTAATTGGATATAACGGTAACTTTTGTAAAAGCTTTTTTGAGCTGATTTTTTAAAACTTCTATATTTTACAGTTTGAAGAATTAGATCATAAAATAAAAATAATTAGATAGAAAAAAGGTATTAATATTAGAGAATTTATTTTTTATTTAACAGTTCATGTTATATATATAGTTTAATTTAATCTGTATTGTATTATAATTTTTTTTAATTTTTTAATATGTTAATAAATCATGAATTCATATAAAATAAAATTTAATAACTAATAAAAATCATTAAAATTAGAAGCTTAAAAATAAAAGATTCACTTCAAAACCAACTTAAAATTTTAGTAATTTACTATTTAAAAACTCGGATTTAATCTAATTTTTACTTTTAATTCTAAGTTTTACAATCTAAATTATAACAAATTGTAAAATATACACTATTAAATTAGAAGATTTGTTCCTATATCTAAAGGGCTCACCCATCTAGTGCTTTAAATCGTGCAAATAAGACTGCATGATGCTCTTTTAATTTGCATTATAAAGTTAAAAAAAAAAAAGATTTTTTTTTTTCATAAATAGAACCAAATAAACACGAAATGCACTAAGCATGTGGAACTGTGATAGTAGTATCAAATGGTAGGTATTGCTGAATCAAAGTGAGTACATGTACGTGGGTGTGTTTTGCTCTACAATGGCATAATCTTCCAATTCAATTATTAAAACCAACGATCTGTTGATTCGAGTGGAATGAGTTTGGTTTTTTTTAAATAAGATCTCGAGTTTGAATCTTCTAAATAGATAACTTCTTCTCTTGTGGGTCCGAACCAACTCAACTCCAAATTAATTGGGAGCCTAATGTGATTTTTGAATACTAAGGGATTAGCACAAAAAAAATTCAATTATTAAAAGAAGAGCTCACATTCAAGGAGTTGTGGCGTAATGGTAAGGATTCATTCTCTATCTTATTGATTTAAATTTGATTTTTTGACGACAAGGAAGTAATTCCTCATAAATTTCCTAAGTCTGGTGTGGATAACTAACTTTTAACTGAATAAAAAAGAGATTAATTTTAAAAAATGCATAAATTGACATGAAAACATACCTGCTAAACCAAAAGAAAATAATAAAAAAAAAAGAATAGCTCATAAATTAACTCACATGGAACCCAATAAGTTTGTTTATAGTAAAATGCTATCGAAATCCTAATGAGGTGGCTTAATGGTTAAGAGTTTGAGACTTTAAGTTGGAAATCTTAAGTTTAATCCTTAAATCGGATAGAAAAAGATTTAGAAATATGAGAGAGCTATCCTTTTTGTATAACTTATAATCATATGTACTAAAAAACAAAATAAAATAAAATGCCGTTGAAGCAATCAAGCAAATTAAGCTCCTACTTTCTCTTGATTTAGGGTTTGCTCAATTTGTCATGTAATGGGAAAATGTTAATAATGATATCAATTCTTTGTTTTTATTTATCCTTCAATATAGTACTAGTACTAAACTTATTGACCAACTACTATAATCCACGTCCAGAATAAAAATTTCATAAAAATTATAACAAAAATTTTCCTTAGCAATTGAATCAGTAAAAAGTGACAATAACTCATCATAATCAATGCAATTTCTTTGAATTACTAATTTGTTTGCTCAATCTCTTGGAATTATTAATTTGTTAGCTCCGACTCTTGGAATTACTTATTCGTTTGATCATGGAACAAATTGTTTTACCGAGAATAGCAGAAGCAAGCTTGAAATTATGTACTAACTTATAGCTCATATTATAATTAAATCAGACAAATTTTTACTTAATTAATTGATGCGAGATTATTCTCATTTAATACATCCTCACATGTGGGACAAATACAGGAGGGGTTGTATACTTCTAGTACCCTAATAAAGCACATCGATCTGAATCAATTGGATATAATTGGCTGAATACAAGATGAGGACATAACAACAAATGGGTCTAGAAATAAGATCTCAGTTATTGAAGAGCCTCTAAACTAAAATCAATTAATAATAGGCGAATTAGTTGATATTATATTTAAGCCAACCAATTTTCCCTTTATTGCTCAATTGATCAAGATTTTCCCACCTAGCAAAAGTAGGATGACAATTGAAAGCAACTTCTAACCTCACATGGTGGCATGTGAGCATGTGGGGTTGTTTGCTTGGACAGAAAGTGAAAGAAAAAGGTTTCTGAAAGTCATCAAAAACACATCAACTAACATTGATCAAAATTAGTGTGTATACATACATATATCTGAATCAAACTCCATCCTCATCACCTCTAATTTCTTCAGCTTCTAACAAAGTAGATAAACAATGAACATTATCAATCTCCTCAGCTTCTAATGAAGAAACACAACGAGTTGTAGAGGAATCCTCAGAGGAAGAGGAAGAAGAAGTGTAGAAAGATAAAGGGGAAGAAGGAGAATGAGAGCAAGAACAACAAAGAGTGCTAGAAGCAAACGCAGAGGAAATAGCTATTCCAACAAGCAAATCAACAAAAGCACCAAAAATATACCCATGATTTCCCTTTGCATTTACTCTCAAATACCAACACAAAAGCTCCTCCAGTCCATCCCAGTCTTTCAGTCCATGTGCCTCAACCATTTCCTCCATTGACTTCCGGAAATCCATGAAAGGGTCTATGGATTCCATTGACAAAAACAGAGTACTCTGTTTCAAAGGCAATGCAGAGCTCGCCTTTGCTTCTTCCAATATCGAGCTAGTCTCCCCCGGCTCAAAGAACAGCCTCTCCGACCTCAACCCTCGAATGACATTCTCAACAGAATCACCTCCCATGGCGACGGTGTCATCATCAGATGCGGCGGTGGAGAAACTTGGAGATTCAGAGGAGTTGCTGAAGATGGAATCAGGGGTTCCGGTTTCGGGGTCGACGTTGGCGGTGTTGACGGTCTTAATGATACTGTCGTTGGCCCTAAAAGAAAGGGTTCTTGGCTGTTGACAGGACGGCCATGACCATGAGGAAGAGGGCTTCTGTGAGAGGAAAGGAAGAAGTTTCATCTTTTTCCCCATGCTTTGGTTGTCTGAAGTTACTCTGTTTTGGATTCAAAGGAAATTCTGGAGAGGTTTTGAAATGCAATTTGGAGGAAAGAAATTGTTAGTGTTTGTTTATTTATGTGGTCATTAAATGGGGGAGTCAGAGAAGGATGTATAGGTGGGAAGATTTTAAAGGAGTGGTGAGACAATGAGTAACTGGTGGGGTATTCTTTCTTCTTCTTCCTTCTTTCTCTTTT